TTGTTTGAATTAACAAATATTAAGTTGAATTAATAAATATTTGCTTGACAGTATGCGTGAACGCTACATTTAGTTGAATCAACTAATATTTTTTTGAAACACAGCAACTTTTTTTTCTAAATGTATTAATTTATGTTAATGTAATTAAGTTTCTTCAACAATAAACTAAAACAAATAAAAATCTAATTAAATTATACTCAAACGTATCACATCACAATTGTTACATAATTATTTTATCGTCCATACTCGCAGTAATTATTACGCAGCAGCGCTTCAACAAGATATTATCGGTGTAATATTAGCTATATTAAAATTTGTGTGATAACATCGAACGGGATAGAGGCTTTATACAATTCACATTGACAATTGTCAGCTCACAGGTAATCATAGTCCACGTTTCGACCTGCGTCATCGGCGCTTCCGGAATTAATACTTAAACGCGAGGAGACATCAAGCGGAAAACTTTCCGCGCAATTCACACTCCGTCGAGGAGGTTGTCGCTGTATTTTATTTCTCAGCACTAAAAAACATTTCGTACATTTCTCAAGAGCTGACAACTATAATAAACGTTTGAAAAATTCATTATCGTTACTGATTTCGACAGTATGTAAAAAAATATTATACGCTATAATTCCAAAATATATTATTCTCTTTTTTTAGCTAAATGGAAAAAAGTTTAGAAACTGAAGGAAAAAACTTTCTTCATTTCAGAATAGATTATTAACATTATTATTATTGTATTGGGTAAGTACATAATCATTCATAAATAATCTGATATTATTTACGAATAATAAGTTATTTTATGTAATTACCCAATAATAATGTAAATATTCGTGAATTTTATATAATGATGATAAAGTACTTAAACTTTGCACAGTTCTTGCCACTATGTTTCATATATATCTTGCAATTGCATCGTGGTTACTCATTCGCACATGGTGTCGCCACCAAAAGAATTGGAATATCACCGATACGCGATAAATGTTAAAATGATCGAAAATTAATTGGGAAGTTTTTAACGGAGCAATAAAAATAATGAGCCATGACGGCGGACAGGTAGGCCGGGGATACGACGCAAAAATCGCGCGATAGACTGGCCGCTCCATTTTCGTCGGAAATGGTCGCATTAAACGTTATGGATGGCCGTACCGAAAGGGGTGAGCGATTTTTCTTCGAGTTAATGCACCACGGTAAGAGAGGTGCGCCGCGCGAAGAGAGTTATTACTCGCACAATATCATACCGGAGCGGCGACGATGCGCGATAACAATAAACGTAACAGTGTAAGGAAGCTGGCCGTTAATGAACAATCATCAAACAACCATCTCGACAATCTCAAATATGTCACAAGAATTCAAGTATTATATTAGCGATAAGTGTTTTAGATCGAAGAGTTCGTAAATCGTCGTGTCAATAAATGACATTCCAATTAAATATAAATTCTATTTATGTTCCATTCAAAACATTATTATAAAACATCATGGTATAAAATATTCTGTTACCATAATGCGTTAAATAAATACAACATTACAGAACAAATTGTAAAACCAGAATAGTGAATAAAAGTAAAATATCGAAAATTAAGATATTAATCGGTTTTAGCAAATTTACTTTTGAGAAAATCCAGTTTTTACTTTTGTCGGGTGCGCGCATATTTTTCTTTAAAATATTCTCTAACAATAAATTAATTAAAGCTAAAATTACGACATTAATTATAGCGACACAAAGGAGTGATAGCGCGTTGATATACCGACGTGAAATGTCAATTACGCGACTGTCGACTAACGACTCTTCGCGAGCCAAGAAAACGACACGAATTTATATCAAATGATTTTTCCGTGAAATAAGTGTGATCGAATTTAGAGTTAATATTACTGAAATATAATCTGAACGATCATATTTAACACTTAGAATCCTCGGAGCAAATTGCAGTTTTGCAATGAATGAAAAGATTTGACTCATCATTTTAATGGATATCATTGATCAAAATTAAATTAGTAATTTAACTTAAAAATGTAGTATGTATATGCCAAACGAAATCGTAAAATATGTAATTCAGTTGCAAAAAATTATTTATGTCTTAATCTTCTTTATGTCTTAATGTTCGTGGTGAATAATTGTTACACCTATTATCACGAAAATAACGATGTTGAAATATCTCAAAATTTAGTTAGATACAGATCTGAAAATAATTTTGGACCATCAAAATAATTACGTAGAAAAGTCAAGCATGATGAACAATGTTGCAAAAAGTTTTGATATTCTAGCAACCAATTTAAGCGCGCTACATAATTATTTTGATGATCCAGCAAAATTATTTTCAGATCTGTATTTAGTTAAATTTTTAAATGCTTCAACAATTAAAATTGTTCTGTTCTTATTAAAATCCATTAGATTTCTCATTGTGTAATTAAGAGAAGAAATGTTATTTATTGAAGTAATACAAAAGTTAACAATGAAATGTGAAATATTCAGCACGTGACATGTAATACACGACTCATCATTTATTTAAACAAAAGGAAGATATTTAATAATTCACGTAACAGTAACGATGCAACACACGATACGTTGCATCGAGGCTTTCGAAACTAATTAATTTTTATCGGTAAAGTACGCGTAATTATGACGCTCGTAAAGTTTACACGGATGTTACAAACCATACGATCGATTGCGAAAGGATTTCATGAAGATTTCAGAAAGTAAATCTATAGTAATATGCAACAATGATTTGCGTTTTTATGAAGAAACTATGCTCACACGATAAATCATAATAATGTTGGTTTAAAATAAAAATGTGTAAAGATATATATAATATTCTATAAGTTTCATACAACTATAACAAAAATCATATAAAAGAATTCTTTAAAAAGTTAAATATATTTATAAAAAATTGTTAGCACATAATTTATTAATTTAATGTAGACCTATCAATAAAAGTAATATTATATATTGGAGAAACAGAATATATAAACGTATAAAGTACATTAAAAAATACAGAAACTACAATAAGAAAATATAATATAAAAACGCCATTCAATAAATGACAAGCTATAGAATTGCCACAAATTCCTCGTCCTAAAATTCCATAACTCTTCTCTGATTTTCAAGTAAAATATCATGATTTTCTTTGAATTTAAATTTTTTTGTATTTTCTTGATCTAGAAATCATTAAATATTTTATTGAGAGAGCAATTTAACACGCGCGACAATGTAAATTACTATTAATGTTGCTGACATTGCTTGCATTTAATTGTCAAATTGATAACATTCCAAAACTATATAGGCAGTAATTTGCGCATATTAAATTTCTTTAAAACCAACAATTTTAATTTGCCAAAAAATTCCTTGACTTTTCCCTGATTTCTCCATTATCAATTTCCCTCACAATTGATTTTTTACTTTGACAAAGAAAATTTAAGAAAATTATTTAAAACGTTTACTTTAAGCGGACGTCTCACTAACAAAGGCAATAGTATTATTTTAGCTATAATTTCCCTTTAATTATAATTTCCCTATATTCTATACTTAACAATGCGTTTTTAATGATAAACTACCTTTCAATTCTTCGAGTAATTTTATTTTACTACTGGTGTCTTTCACATGTTTTACAAAATACTTCAATTCCTCACATTAAGAAGGTCTATTGAGATTTAATTCCAAAGACCATCCATTGAATGTGAAAAGACTCACCGTGTTGATGCAACTTTCCGCCTCCGACGGCCTGCTGTTGTGAATGTTTATGATGGTGCGGTTGTTGCGGTTGCTGCTGCGGCTGTTGCTGTTGTTGCTGCTGCTGTTGCTGCTGCTGCTGCTGCTGTTGCTGCTGCTGCTGCTGCTGCTGCTGCTGCTGCTGCTGCTGCTGCTGCTGCTGTTGACGCGAGTCCCGCGCCATGATCGCAGCGATGCTGAAGTCGGTTGCGCATTGACGATTTGAGTTACAATTATTATTGAGATTATTCAGAAGACTGCTGTTCGGCGACGGGCTCGAGCTCTCGTCGCCGTCATCGCCGGCGCATCCGGATAACCCGGTAGATACCGCGGAGGCGGCGGTGCCCTCGCCCTGCATCTTCCTGCCCAGATAGAGGTGATGTCGAGATTCCTCGTCGTCCTCCTCGCTGCCGGCTCCTCCGGCACCACCGCCACCTCCGCCGCCTCCGCCACCACCGCCGCCACCGTCGCCGAACGAGGTCAGTGTCAGTCCGTTTCTCTTCCTACCGGCGAGGCCTCGCGACTCCAGCAACATCACCTCGCGCGCTGCTTCCTGAGCCACGTGGGGTCTACCGACAAACTAGTCAGAGAGCGTCTCAGGGCGGATCCGCTTGACGCCGTGACGCTACGGGCGTCGTACGTTAGAACGATGCCGATCCTGATAATTGTTGTCCGGAAGATCGTATGTGTTTCTATCCTCGATACGCGAGTACCGCTGAAGCGGCATCAGCATCCTCTCCTATAATCGTGCAAATCAACTCCGAGTCCTCGCTGTCGACATACGCGCGTATATCGCGTGCGAGGAGATGACAGAGTGCACGTGTATGTGTTTGTGTGTGTGTGTGTGTGTGTTTGTGTGAAAGAACGAAGAACCTACGAATGGAATCGGGCACGGAGTGGTCGGTTACGATTGCCGCGTTCGTTGCATGGCAGTTCGTTCCAGTGGAGTGTACGGTACAGTAAAACGTCGTAACTAATCAGAGTTCTTATTGGAGCAGCGATAAAACTCGGAGCACAACACTAGAACTACGCCAAATAGCTAGCCGTGGCGTTTAGCGATCGGCGATCGGTAGTGAATGTGATCCGAAGGAAATGACGCCGACCAAACGTTGACCGGAGTAGCACTCCGTTAACAGCGTGGGGACCCGAGGAAAAGCTACGCCGTCGCAAAGACACCAATTCGCTTCTCTTTCGCACGCGCGAAAAAACGGAGCTGCTTGATGTATCGTTTACACTGCCAGGCCGAGCGAGCGAAACGAGCAGGGAACGACAGACCGACCGGTTGCCCGACAGACTGACCCGCGCCACTGCCGGTCGCCTCTTCGTTCCGACCCCCATCCCCGCCAATACGATTGAGCTCGGTCGGACGAGCTAAAGGGACGGTACAACATGAGCGGGAATGAGAGAAGAAAATACCCAGCGGGTGTTGAATGGGCGGTTCCTTGGCACGCTCCTCCTCCGCGATCAGCACCCGGCTCCGCCTGCAGGCTCTCTCCCGTGCGAAGCCCACCTCGAGGTTCGCTTAAACGTTATTACCGCGTCGTTCTTCCTCTCGTTTCTACTCGTCCCTCTCTTTCTCTCGCGCCCATGTCAAACTGAAACTGCCAACCGGGAGCCGACGATACAAACACGCACGAGCGTCCACAGGAGGAGTTTCTCTCTCTCTCTCTCTCTCTCTCTCTCTCTCTCTCTCTCTCTCTCTCTC